CATTCTTCTGAGGTTTCTACCATTTTCCCACTCTTTTTCTGCCTGGTCCTTGTGTTGCCACTTATTCCTGGACTACTGTTAAATTACCTGGCTGTAGAGATTAAGTTATCAAACTGAATATGCCTGAAACCATACAAAAAAATGATTCCCAGGAGGTCCTTACCATTCACCTCTGGCAGGAATTTCAAGCTTTGCTTTTTTCAAGCCCTCATCTTCTTAGCCTAGTGGCCACTGAAAGAAGCAAAACAGCCAACAGAACACCATTAAATATATGTGTGAATTTTCAAATCAGCTTGCTAAAAGGTAAGAACTAAAAATCTCCAGTGCTTCTCTGCTTTATCACTTTGTACCTTTTTTACTGCTGCACAGATCCAGGGCTTAGGAGAGCAGATAGAACGAAGTGTGAATCACAGCTTAAAATCACCATATTTTGGGTTTTAATTCTCCTTCTTAATGTAAAGATGGTGATATATTAGGAGGCAATGACATAATTAGTGAAAATCATACCAATTATATCAAGTTTCCATTAATCCTCTACTGTACATTCCCTTCTGCCATCCCTATAAAAATAAATAAAAAAAAAATAAAAGAGAGAAAGGCCTAAGCTCTGTCCCCAAGGGTGCTGCTTCCACATTGTTTCACCCTTCATAGCCTCAGGGCCACTCCTCCACTTTCTCTCATAGTTTTCAAGAACAGTCTCATCTCAGGATGAGTATTATGGACTTCACCAGCAAGAATTCACAGTCTTCTCAAGAACTACTGCAAAACCTTTTATGTGAAATGCCCAAACGCAAAACCTTTTATGTGAAATGCCCAAACAACTTGCAAATATGTATTCACTAAATTACATTCCAGTCAGTGACATTATATTATCACTATCTGAGAAACAGGCAGGTTGAAATAAGGAGAAGGTAAGTGACCTTCCTAAAGTTATAGTAGAAGCCAGAGGTATATTTTAAATATCCTTGCTGTTCTCTGATAAGAGCAGTACATTTTCTTAGCCTATCTGCAGTTTTGGTGCTCAGATTGTTTATGGTTCAATGAATATCCAAATTACCAGAGTACTAAAGACAAAATGGCCTGAGAAACAGCTTAAGTCTATCATGGGAAACCTGCTCAGACTAACACCAGTCCTGTCCTAAAAAATTGCTCGTGACAGCCTGGTACTAGTACTGGTCCTAGTAGAAACACTGTAGCAGTGTCAGTTACTATTTGACAGAGACCTTTAGCTCCATGCTATAATTTCAGGCACCTGCAGAAAGAAGGAGTAAAAAGCATCCTATTTCTATATATTCTTCAGATCAACACACTTGCAAACAGGAAAAAAAAAAAAAGAAAAAAGAAACCATAGCAAATGCCATGTGTTTTATAAACCTCCAAAGCTTTTTCCTACATGCTTTCTGCACAGCAAGGCACTCACTAAATCTGGCCCATCAGAAAGAATTCACATGAGGCACTGCCTTGTTGATTTCTATCAGGAACCAAGGAAAGCAATTTTCCAGAGAAGATGCATGAAATACCCACACATTTCTTACCAATATTTGACTGAGGACAGAGTTGTGGAAAGAGAAACAATGGGAGTCATCCCCTTATGCTTACCAGCCAGCCAAGAAAGTGGCTTTCAGCATAATCAGATCATCAGTCTGCTCTGCAGTGTGACCAGCCTTTGTTTCCTTTATGTGCTTGTTCATTACTTATCTGTGTTGAGAATCAAAGCTTAATGGCTGACACCCATTTTTAATGAATCAGTGTGAAAGACAGAAGGGACATGATCATTACTGCCATCCCAATATATGCAAACATTGCTTTTGTTCAACTGCCCTTTCCATGTCACTTGATTAAATTGGACATGTTTCTTGTGGATCATACACCCAACCAATTTATAAACATCAGCTGTTTCAGACCGAGAGGTTTTCTTTGTATTGTGCGTAGCCCTTTACTTCCCTCCAGTAATAATAATGATCTGCTTTCTTTAAATAAGTAAAAAATAAATAGACACAGAGTGAAGTGAGTCTAGTGAGAGGTTTAAAGATGGTAGAGCTTGTTTCTGCCTTTGCTCTACTTCTGTAAATTATTATGCTGCAGCCACAAGGAGAACATAAGCCATTATGACCTGCAGCATTTCTCCAGGGATACAGTACAGAAGTGGTCTATCAGAAATGCAATCAATTCCAGAGATGACTGCTTCCTGCACGCTTCCAAGCTGCTGCTTTATAAAACAGCTCCCCATAAAAGGAGCAGGAAATGCATGACATCGTTTAGCAATCAGTCATTAGAACTTAATGGAAGAGGATTAAACTAAAAAAAATGCCATGCTTACCGACCTTTCCATACATTACCACAGCCTCTGAGAGGAGGAATTGGTGACATATTGGTAGAGCCTTAACCCTTTCCTCTACCTTCAGAGATGGAAACATCCCACAATCAAATAAAAATCTTATTAGAAGGGTAAATCAAACAAAAATCAAACCTCTGAATGAAAGTGGAGTCAAAGGTGAGATTTCTCCATTTTTACCTAAAACCCCTGGGGGAAATGAAAACATGTTCTCTAATCTTGATTTCTCTAACCTGTCTGTCCTCAGGTGCTGTACTGTGTAATTTCTTGTGTTTTCACAGTTGTCTCACTTCTAGTTGCCTACATGACAGTGTGTGTGCACTCCCTCTTGCATATGCTTAAGGTACAGTGAGAACAAATCAAATAACCTCTGAAATTATATTCCTACTGATTTATTGTGAAGACGTTTTTTATACTGAAAACACCTGGTGCACAGTATCATGTGCATTGATAATAATTCAGGCATAGCTTTTTTCTAGAGCAAAGCAAGTATTTACAGCTACAGCAGAATGCTGGAGATGAATTCATTCTTATCACAATCAAAAGATAACTGAACAGTAGAAACATATCCATCTCTTGAGGTTCAGCTCTCTCTAAATCACCCCCAAAAGGTTCTATGAATCTTTCTCCCTTCTGCAAGTTTTAAAACTCACAACTGCGTGGTGCTGATAACCAATATCTGTATAAATGCTTTTTCCACTATATGTTAAATTATGTAGCTAAAAATAAGCTGCAGATGATCCATCTTTAAAAAGCATATTACGTATCTCTTAATGATTACATATCTCTCAAATGACAAGTCTTTTCACTGTACTAAGAGAGAGTAGAGGTATGTTCTTTTTTGGCAACTTTTCTGTCTCTCACACCACACAAGCACTTGGGGGTCAGAGCACTGCCCGGCATGCAAATGGCCTGGAGCATGACAGAGCTACGTGGTCACACCTTGTCATCCCCTACTCTGAGGTCATTGCCAGCAAAGTGCAGTTACAGGAATTCAAGGTACTCAACTGGTAGGAAACAAGATCTTCTAGTACTGTGAGAAGTGTTGACTCATAAGGTTTGTCTGACTCACATTAAATATTTACTGTTATTCGTTACTTTAATCGTTCAGCCGTAATAAAAAGTATTCCCTGCAGCCTTGCCACCCCAGGCTGTACTCCAGCCATGCTCCACACCCAAGGTAATGTCAGCAAGCCAGCAAATGCTGTCTCCTGCCATCTCCAAAGCAATGTGGCAAGGACTGTTATCTAACACTGGGAACAGCTCCATGACCAACACCTCACCCAGAAGGAGCAGCTGGGAAAAGGTGCAGCTGAAAACATGGCACGCTGGGTGAAACTAAAAAAGCAGTCGGGCCATTTCTGATTATTGGATCGAGGAAGATGCCTTCTCCCAAAGCACAAAACTTTAATTCATCACTCTAAACCAATTGATCTCCATTTGACTCAGAGTTTGACAATCCTATTGTGGTTTTGGCACAGCATCACCTGACTTTACCACTTCTCTAAGGATGAAGATTCAAATCTTCTACTACTGCGATGAGA